ATCGAGTGATGATCTAAGGGAGGACAGTTTCGGAAAGACACCTCCTTGTCGTCGAGGCGTTGTTAACGCGCTCGCCCCGACCGCCCTTGAGCTTGAAAGCGAGCGACCTCGCCACGTCTCGCACTCCACCGCCAAATGGCTTCTCTTCCGCGGCAGACGCCCTCGGCGCAGAGAGAAGCCACGCTTTAACCTCATCACGAGAAAGACGGCGCGTCATTCTGGCTCGCGGGCAGGAGGAGAACTTGACTGCTCCATCTTCATGCTTCATTCTGGACCCCCACGCGCACGGGTCGTCGAAGAGTATTGGCCAGGTACTCTAAGGTACGCCCCGCCTACGTTCGCGTACTGCGTGTACTGTGTAGATTCACCTGTCGTTTCTGCCCATGATGCATTACTGCGCGGGTGAGTAGGCAAACCGTGCACATGCATGCATGGGGTACAGTCTACCACGGAAGTAAGTATGCGGGGTGAATCAGCCACCTGGTACAAACAGTCCAGGAGCTGAGACGCGTCTCGGTATCCAACCGGGGGTTCAATCCCCTTTACCCCTCCGTCTGCTCCATAGAGAGGTTTTTGAGAACAAGCAGGTTATTACTCGTTATTTAAAGAATAGAAACGGTGGGAAAAGGGGGGGGGCGGTGTCAATGGGCGAATGGGATATTGATGGCGAATGTCTGGCAGCCAGCACCTTCCGGTGGTTGGCAGAGGCCAAGCAGGCCTCTGGTCGCCTCTGGTCGACCACAACTCATCGAGGTGACCGAGGGCGTGGCGGAGCGTGGTGGTGTTAGGAGGCGGGTGGGGTGGGGTGGGGTGAGGCCTGGGGAGCCGCGATGCTCGAACACGATAAGGTAATGCCGGAGGGCTGCTTTTGGGCGGTTCGGGCTGTCGCTTGAGTGTGTCCCGGTCTTGCCCCTCGCCGGGTTCGGGTTGGGCTGGGCTGTTCACCTTCAGGTCAGACGCGCAATAGTCCTCTACATCCTCTCCTCGGCGCCGCTGACGGCCTTGGCTGGGGTCCGACCTCAACGGCTAGATAAATCGACAAAGACGGCGGCCGGCGCGGGTCTTGTCGTTTGGACACAGTAGAAAAAGTTTCGGCAGCCGTCACACTTTCCCAACATCTAGATCTACTAGTTTTTGTGGACTGAGCTGGATGTTTTACACAATAGCGGTGGGTTTTATGCTCTGAATTTTCTAAAGTTTTCCAGGTAGTACAAGTAGTATTTTCCACGGTTCCCCGAAGGTTGTTATGGGCGTAACTCTCCGCAGCAGGTTGTGTGTGTGAGCGCGCG